GAATTAATTTTTTTGAAAAAAGTTGAATTAAAATTTCTTTTTAAATTATTTGAAGTTTTTATTTTTAATGCAATATATTTAATTGAAGAATTATTTCTTAATAATCAGAATATCGTAAAATTGAATCAGAATATTCTTTAGGGTTAGGGAAAAATTCAAAATTTTGAAATGTCAAGGAAAAACAAAATTAAATTATTGTTGCAACCCTGTATTAAAAATACCCAAATGGATTTCGAAGGAAACTTAATTCACGTATTAGGAAATAGGTTCAATTGTTAGAATTAGTTTTTTTTCTTTCTCTATAGATTTTCCATTGATGAATATATATTTTCGTAAAATGTAAATTGAATAGAGTCCGGTATTCATGAAGAATTAAAATATTGATAAATTGAAAATTCGATAGAAAATGTAATGAAGCTCTCTCTGTCTTTTTTTTTATCAATGAACTGACATATGCATCTTTCTCCTGCATTATGCCTGCATAATCCATTAACTCCATCAGTGATTCAGGCCTCCCCAATCCTTCACATCTCTCTGTTTAAATGCCCTCCATTTCCCTTTTGTGATATATATTCCGCTCCTAATCCGACTACTATTTATTCCCTAATTTTCAGGGTTATTAAATTACCAAGCAGTACACTACATTATAAATAATAAAATTATAATCAACAGCAAATTACATTCATTATGAATTTATTAAATAAAATCCCAAAATTTAAACAACAAAATTTCTCTATATCGATAATTTTCTCATGATTTTAAAAATTTAATTCCCCTTTTTTTTAGTATCTAAAAATTATTATAAATTATAATTTAGAAAAATTCCAAAAGGGAAAATTTTTTATCGAACCATTTAAAAGTTATTAATTTTCATTTCTCCGTGGTCTTAGGATCCTTTCATCGATCAAAGTGTCAATCGTTAAAATCAAAGCAATTAAACTAATAATAAAGCATCGGAATGATCCGATCCGGGTGTCGTGGTCGTATTACGTAATGTGCCATGGGCGTTTTGGTCAATTGACGTGATTGGGAATTTACGGATTATCGTCGAGGGTTAGCAAACAAACAAACAAAAAAAAAAAAAAAATGTACAACAATTGTTATAAAAGAAAGTGTGATGGGAAATATTTATCAGTCAGTCATTTTTTGAGACTTTTTTTTATTTCGGGATATATCCAGAAATGTATAGTAAATGCAGAACGAAAATGACAAAACCACGAGAAAGATAAATAATGCGCTATTCGCTAACGTGCTATATGCGAATAGAACACTCGACCGGTTATGGTTCGTCCGTCAATCCATAGTTCATCGCTTTTGGATTCGAAGGGCTCAACACTCATCGGACCTTACAAAATCTGTCCGGCTACACGCTAAATAACTGTCATTCCACTCAAATTGGATTTCCATGGTCGCGCGTCTATTATTCTATTCAATAGAGCTCACTCGTTTTCAATATATTTGCTTATCAACGAAAAGTGCCTATGACTCATGTACATAGTTACAAGATTTATTTTCAATAATCTCATGTTTTTCGCTTGTTTTCATTGTTTACGATTATAGGCATGATTAGAAATTTTCATAATCTTCTCTTTAAATTTGAATTAGCAAAAATGTTTACTAATTTGAATTAGTGAATTTGACTTTTTGATTTTGAATTAGTAAATTTCACTAATAAATTAGTAGAAATTATTATTTATTTAGTGAACTTTACTAAATTAGTAAAAATTGTAAATTAGTAGAAATTACTGTTTATTTAGTGAACTTTACTAAATTAGTAAAAATTGTAAATTTGGAGAAATTACTGTTTATTTAGTGAACTTTACTAAATTAGTAAAAATTATAAATTAGTAGAAATTACTATTTATTTAGTAAACTTTACTAAATTAGTAAAAATTATGAATTAGTAGAAATTATTATTTATTTAGTAAACTTTACTAATTTAAAAGCAAAAAGTCAATCACTAATTCAAATTAGTAAAAATTTTTACTACTTCAGATTTAGAAAGTTGTTAAAAAAAAATTTTAAATTTCCAAAAACATGTTTTTTTGCATTTAATTTAATTTATTTCACATTTTACATAAATTTCTTTTTTGTACTTTTACATAATAAAGGTAAAAAGTTTCCAGGTAATTTTTGAAGAATGTTTCTGTCAGACAAGTTTCGTATCTACTCATCTACTAAAACCTACTATTTTACTACTTTTTTACGATTTGCTACTATTTTGATACTTTTTTTTTAGATTTGTGACATTAAAAGATACTTTTTCTCCATGTTTAAGAGTTTGCCCTACTTTAGATTCGTTAGGAATAAGAAAATTATTCTCAAAAATTTAAATAATATTCTTAAATAGAATTCAAAAAAGATTTTAATAAAATTCTTTCAAAGGATTCAATTATTTATAAGAATTTTTTGATATTCAACTATTCTCATTATTCAGTATTTTAATGAAAAAAATACCCAGCAGAATTTATTTATTAAAAAAAATTTTTTATTCTCTGAAAACATTTGCAATTAGCTATTTTCTTAAATAATAAAAATTTTCAGATTATTCTCTTAAATAAAGAAAATAAATAAAAATTTTAACAGAAATTCAATTACTTAAAACACAATTTTCATGAAAATCTTCGAAAAAAATCAATTATTTAAAAAGATTTTTATAAAATTCTTCGAAAGAATTCAATTACTTTAAATACAATTTTCAATTATCAATTATTAAAATTTTTTTTTGAAAATTCGCCTTGAAATTATATTTATCTTTTAATAAAATTATAATAAAATTTATAAATTTTATTACAGGGATTCAATTATTTTCATGTATAATGAAATTCTTCTCAGGAATTCAATTATTTAAAAAAAATTTTAAATAATTCGTTGCAAAGATTCAATTTTTTTCATACATAATGAAATTCTTCTCAGGAATTCAACTATTATTTAAAAATTTTTTTTAATAATTCGTTGAAAAAATTCAATTTTTTCATAACTAATAAATCTCATTGCAGAATTTCAATTATTTTTAATAAAATTTCCAAAAAAATTAAAAATATTTTTAAAAAATTCAATAAAATTCGTTGTAAAGATTAAATTATTTTCATGAATAATAAAAATTTTACAGGAATTCAATTGTTTTCAAATTTTTTTTATAAATTTCTATGCAATAATTCAATTATTTAAAAAAATGTTAATAAAATCCGTAGCAAGAATTCAATTATCTTCAAAAACTCTTATGAAATTCTTTGGAAAAGAATTCTTCGAAAAAATTCAATTACTTAAAAAATTTTTGGATAAAGTTTTGTTATAAGAATTTAGTTTTAAGAAATGTTTTATTATTCAATAAATTATTTATTTTCATATTTAAATAATTGAATTCTCGTAGAATTTTTTTTATTAAAATTGACTTAAAATTGAATTTCAGTTTAAATTTTTGATATTAATTGAATATTATAAGTTAATAATAATTACTTAATAATAATAGTTAATAATTAAAATAATAATTCAATTTTAAAAGATTTAATATAATATTTAAAAAATTTTGATTTTATTGTAATAAAAAATTTATTGAAAGTTTTAATTGTTGTAAAACTTTCATAATATTAAAATTTTTATTTTTGAATAAAATAATTATAGTTTTGAATAATTTTTATTTAAAAATTTCAACAAAAAAATAATTGCATTGAATTACAGTTTTAATTTTTAGAAATATGGTTAAATTTCGAAAGGCTTTACTTTAAAATCATTGAAAATATTTTAATTCCTGTGGAAAAATTAATTGATATTTAAATAATTATTTTTAAGAAATTATTCTATTTTTGAGTGTAATTCAATTTGGAAATGATGAAAAAATTGAGTCGTCGAATTGAATTTTTTTGTAGCTACTTTTTTCAGTCTTAACACGCTACTTTTTTAAAATTAATTATCGAGTACGAAGTCTGGTCAGAATTCACTAAGTTAATTTTCAACAAATTTTTATTTTCTTTTAACTTTTTTAAAAAATTTTTTCGAACATTTTTCTCAAATAATTTCGAAGAAATTCTCTTGAAATACTCCAAATTATTGCAGTGGTGAAATATTTCTAAGAAATAAAAGCTAATAAACTGAATTGTGACTAAAATTCAATTTATAGTAAATTATAATTCGCTTTTTTGATTTTTGCGGAATTTTTTCGTTTTCGATTTTTTTTTTGTTTTTGTTTGGTATAAAATTGAGAGAATGAGATTTGAGGTACTTCAGGTCTCCCTGGGTTCCACGATGATTTCTGATTAACGGTCAGTTGTTTCGTGTACCCGGTTGGGGCTCGTGGCGGACGTCGAGTAATGACTCTGGGGGCGGCGGGAGCGGAAACTCACGAATATACAGAGAGAAATGAAAGAGAAACACAGGAGAAGAGCGAGTGGGTGACTGATGACGATGATGATTACAATAACAGTGATTTTAGAGGGTTCACTGAAGGGCTTTACACGGCAGTAAAATTCTCCTCTCTTTTATTTCACATTTCCGTTTATAATTTGTATATTGTTTTTTCTTTTTTTTATTATGAAAATAGAAAAATGCTAATCGAGCTAGAAATTATTAAATTAATCAAATTATCAATATACTGATAATGAAAAAAAATTGCGGTTCATTTTTTTTTTTTTGTAATTTTCTCCTTTATTGCTGATTTTGATATACGAAAAAAATTAAGTGTAAGGGATTAATTCTTATGTGCGGTTTAACAGTCATTAACTGTTTTTTTCTTCATTTGGAAAACTAAATTCTTTTTCTTTCCTTCGAGAAATTAAAAGTTTTCATTCTTAATTGGAAAATATTATTCTTTTTTCATTATAAAAGTAATTTCTTTTTTTGGAATTAATATTTTTCAGAAAATGTAATTTTCTTTTTTATTCGGAAAATTTAATTTCTTTTTTATTCAGAAAATTAATTTCTTTTTTAAGAAATATTTTTAAATAACTTTAAAAAAATTAGAAAGAAAATTTTTTTTGCGATTACTTTTTGAAAAAACTTACCCCTTCCACTTCTGCCAACGAACCTCAGGTCATTGAACTTGGCCACTTGATTTTTCATATGAGCTGTTGCATTTCTAAGTTCGGCGCAACAATTTTCGTCATTGCCCGCTCGAATTGTCACCGAAGTGCCATCGGTCACTTCTCCAAGTGCAACGACTTTAAAGGCGCCCGGAAGTGTTTTATTCGATCTCCAATGAGTCGGAAGTTGGGTACACAAAAAATACGGAGAACCTGTAACATTAAGAATTGTAACCTTCTATAAACGTAAATAATAAAATTTGCTAGAAGCGTAAATAAAAAAATGTCTGTGAAATAAAAAAAATGTTTAATAATTGTTATTTTTAACAAAAATTATCATAAATACAAAAAAAATACAAAAACAATACCAGAAAATAAAAAAATAAAAAAACAATAAAAAACAATACAAGAAAATAAAAACAAAAAATACAAAAACAATAAAAAAAAAATACAACATTTTTTTGTAATTATGATAAAAAAAGACAAAACATAAAAAAATTGTTAGAATATAAACTATTAACTAAAAAATTGTTTTTGTAAAAAAATTGCAATAAACGAAATTACTATTCAAAATGGAAATAAATAATTTTTAAAAAGTGTTGAGACGAGCGATAAAAATGGGAAATTTGTATTTTTTAGGAGAAAATTTATATATTGTCTAAGGACACAGTATCAGGTGGTTGACGAGATTTTGGACCCTCGACTCGACTTTTGTCCCTTATTACAGCGGCAGCCGCGACGACGTGTGCGTAGGTACTCATTAGGCACGAGCTAATTGGCAGGGTCAAAGGAGGGGAACTACCGTGGACAGAAAGTTAAGAAGATTAAGATGAAAAAAGAAAGGGAAATTTCGCCTCAAGTCTCAAATAATACAAAACAGGAAATATATATACATATATATATTTACAGAGATATACGAGAAAAAAATATATGAAAAATAATTTCGTTTCAAAAAATACAGAAAGGAGCATTAAAATAATTTATCATTAATTAACTACAGTATTAGAAAAAATTTTTTAAATTTATAAATTTACTATATAGTAAAATAAAATAATTAATTGTATAATAATAATTAATAATAATTTATAATAATTGATTATTAACAATTAATTAATTATTCATAATTAACGAACAATTATTGTAAAAACTTTAATTCGTTTCCTTACCTACTACTAAAAATATTTTGTTCTTATACTTACACCCAGAGAAGAATTTAAACTTAAAATTTATTTGAGTCAAATAAATGAATATTTGTCTGATAGGCAACTAGGTTATTTATTTAAATAAAAATTTTATTCAATAGAAATAATACTTTTATTTGAACCTAATAAAAATTTCGAACAAATACAAAGTCTAGTTGGTTCTGAGTAAAATATATCTTTCTTCTGGGTGTATTATTTTTTTTCAGAGAAAGAGTAGTAAATTTTTTTATTATTTTTTCAATTTTTTTAAATAATAGTTTAATAATAAATTAAAAAATTATGCCGGTACAATAAAAACATTTTTACTACATTTAGAATTCAATTCACTATATGCGGAATTTTGTCTCGTTTCGTTTAGAATTTATATTCCTTTGAGAACGTTTTTTTTTTGTCGAACATCATATTATATTTATATTTAAATTTATCAAAATTAGCAGAACACAAAGTGCTGAAAAGTAGGCGTATTTATATAATTTCCGGCGATAGTTTATATCAACAAAAAAAAAAAGAAAAAAATTATCACAAAAATAATAAGTTGTACCACATTTTGCTAATGAGTTATATAAATAGTTGAGGATCTGTATCTTTTCGGCGCATGTGAATTTAGGGCAAGACGATGTAGAAAAAATGCTTTTATTTTATACTAGAATATTTTTTATTTAAAATATATTTTTTTATTTTATTCAATAATTTTTTTTAATGTTTTTTAATTTTTTTTTATCTTTAATTAATAGTTCTTTTTTGCCTAGTGTATAGTTTACCGCTGTAGAAGTTACAGTTTCGAATCGAAATGAAGCACGTTTCTGTATATTATCAAATATTTTTCACTTGATTTTTATATTTAATTTTCAAGGAATTAAAATAAATAAATAAATAAAATAACAATTCTTAACATTTTTTTTAATTTTTAAATTGAACGTTTGACCAAAGCAATTTATAATTTTTTTATTATTTTCTCTAAATTATTACCACGATCAAAGAAAATACTTGTAGATCTTTTTTCACTAATTTCTAATACCTAATTATTAGTAGATTATTATAAATAATAAGATAAAGATTATTAGTATATAAATAACTACAAAAATAGTAAAATTCCACTACTTGAATTCGTTACCAAAAATTTTAGTTATTTTTAAATTTTAAGTAATTAAAATTTAGAGCTGAGCAAATAAATATTTTTCACTAGAGTTTCACTAGTTATTTAAACTTTTTGTTAGATATTTAATAAATATTTTTCAATTAAATATGAAAAAGAGAATTTTTGCTTATTTTGAAAAAATATTCGGTTTTTTTTATTTTTTTTTATCTAAAGTTTAAATTGAGAAGAATTTTTTTTTAATTTGAGCAGTATCTTTATTATTTATTTTTTTCTAAATTCATTGTACATTTGAACTTTTTTTTTCAAATAAAGATTTTTACCTCAACTTGCAGCAAAAGTTTTCTCTAATTTTAAATTTAATAAAAAAAAATACTTAGATTAAAAATATTTTATTTAAATTGAAGATTTTTGACTTTTTATTTTTATTATTAAGTTCTTGAAAACGGAAAACTAAACAACCAAATTTATCAGAGAAATTATGATAGTTATAGTTTGTTACACTTTGATGTAACAAAGTATAACATTGATAAGGATTTTTTCCATTTAGTTTATTTTTTAAAATTATTTTTTCTTTTGATTATTAAAAAAAATTTTCTTAAAAAAAGAGTTAAAAAGAGTACAAAAAGGAGAAAAGAAAAAATATTGAAAACGTACTTTTCCTTTAGTTAAATTCGAGAAGAAAGAAAAGAAGTAGAAAAAATAAAAAAAAAAAAAAATGAAAAAAGCTTGCAGTATTTTCTTAGACATTTTTTTTATACAATTTTCATACACATCTTTCTGCAAGCAGACCCTTATATTATACATATACGAGGGATTCCAAAGGTCCGTCCCACTATAAGGGGACACGTTATTGCAACTATATAATTTGAATACATAATTTAATTTTAAACTTGCAAACAAGGCCTATAATAAATATTTTCGAATCAAATGAATGATTCTTGTTAACTTAACGTATCTTGTTAACAGTTTGTCTCGCGAGAATTTTAATAAATAAACCCCAACAAGGAAACAAAAAATAAAAAACAAAAAAAAGACAAAAGAATAACAAAAAAAAAACAGTTTTGTCTCGCGAGAATTTTAGTAAACAAACCCCAACAAAGAAACAAAAAATAAAAAACAGAAAAACCAGTTTTGTCTCTGGAGAATTTTAATAAACAAAACCCAAAAAGAAACAAAAAACAAAAAAAGAAAACAAAAGAAAAACAAAAAAACAGTTTTATCTCGCGAGAATTTTAATAAATAAAACCATCAAAGAAACAAAAAATAAAAAACAAAAAAAAACAGTTTTATCTCGCGAGAATTTTAATAAATAAAACCATCAAAGAAACAAAAAATAAAAAACAGAAAAACCAGTTTTGTCTCTGGAGAATTTTAATAAACAAAACCCAAAAAGAAACAAAAAATAAAAAACAAAAAAAGAAAACAAAAGAAAAACAAAAGAAAAACAAAAAAAAACAGTTTTATCTCGCGAGAATTTTAATAAATAAAACCATCAAAGAAACAAAAAATAAAAAACAAAAAAAAAACAGTTTTATCTCGCGAGAATTTTAATAAATAAAACCATCAAAGAAACAAAAAATAAAAAACAGAAAAACCAGTTTTGTCTCTGGAGAATTTTAATAAACAAAACCCAAAAAGAAACAAAAAATAAAAAACAAAAAAAGAAAACAAAAGAAAAACAAAAGAAAAACAAAAAAAAACAGTTTTATCTCGCGAGAATTTTAATAAATAAAAGCATCAAAGAAACAAAAAATAAAAAACAAAAAAAACAGTTTTGTCTTGCGAGAATTTTAATAAAAAAAACCATCAAAGAAACAAAAAATAAAAAACAAAAAAAACAGTTTTGTCTTGCGAGAATTTTAATAAAAAAACAAAGAAAAAACAAAAAACAAAAGAAAATAAAAAAAAACAATTTTATCTCGCGAGAACTTTAATAAACAAAACCCAACAAAGAAACAAAAAATAAAAAACAAAAAAAAGTTTTGTCCCGAGAGAATTTTAGTAAAAAAATCCCAACAAAGAAACCAAAAAATAAAAAACAAAAAAAAACAGTTTTTCCTCCCGAGAATTTTAATAAACAAAACCCAACAAAGAAACAAAAAATAAAAAACAAAGGCCTCAACAAAAAAATAAAGGAGAAGGAAAATTTTCCCATCGCCAACCTGTTCGAACAAGTTCGCCAAGATGTTCGGCCTGGGCCTCGCCGACGAGTCTCTCGGTCCACCAGAGTTCGCCGACGGCGGCACCTTCGCTCATTTCGCCACCTCCGCCTCCACCCCCGCCGCCACCGCCTTCTTCTTGGTACCTCGAGTTCAACCCCTGAAGAGGCACCAATGACGATCCAATTGGCCCGGCACACTCGTGGGAACCAACGGAACCAAAATTCTCCCCACAGCTCACTGATCCCACTGGGAGATGCATCCCATCGGCCAAATGCCGCCCCTCCGATTCCACCAAATTTCGTGACGTCGTTGCAAATTTGCAAATTTTTTTTTGTCGCAAAACAAAAATCGAACGTCTTCCTGAATACAAAATTTATTTAAATCCTTAGCACTTGTTTCACTTTAAAAATTATTTTTTTTTAAATTGGAAACACTTTGGTCACAATCACTTATTTTTTTTCTAACCACCCATTTTTCCTGGGTTCCTCATATTTGGACCACGAGGTCGGTTCTTCATTTTTTCAGAGGGAAAAATTCTTAAAAAAAATTCACTTATTTAGCACTTAAAAAATCCCTTCTTGTCACATTTCGTTTTTTATTTTTATCCACTTTTCGGGTTAAAATACCACGAATTCCGATTGTTTTCAGTGTCATCTGAATTTACAATTTTCGCGCACTTTTTCTTCAAACGATTTATTGTCACGGATTTTACATTATCTCATATCAAAAATGAGAAGGTTTTATTTTTCAATTATAAAATTATAAAATCACATCAAGAGAACAACTTTTATTGGTTACATTATTATTTTAATTAATTTAAACAATTTGGAGAACTTATCACTTGGTGAAAACGTAGAGAAAAGGTGGCGAACTTTATTAATTGATTGTATTAATTATTTTATTAATTGCTGTCATTTTATTAATTGTTAAAATTTTTGTTGTTTTAATTTTATCAAGAGTTGAAACTTTATCGGTTTTAATTTTTAGCAACTGTTGAAAATTTATCGGTTTTAATTTTAGCAACTGTTGAAATTTTATCGTTTTAATTTTAGCAACTGATATAATTTAATCAACTGTTATAACTTAATCAACGGTTTTAATTTATATCAACGGTTTTAATTTTATCAACTGTTTTTAAATTTTTTATCAACTGTTATAATTTTATCAAACTGTTTTTTAAAATTTTTACCAATTCAAGCAAAGATTGACAATAAAAATTTTTGTTTTTAAGTACCTGCCTTTGATTTCATTGTTAATCGAGATTGAAAAGTCGTTTTTCGGTTGATGATCGAAGGAGGATCGAGAATAATCGAGAAACAGTGCCGAACGTCAGTCGCGGTCGGCGGCGCGCGACGTAATGCGTGGAATTGTGGCTTGGAGGCCGCGTGTTCCGCGGAAGCCCACCGGGACGGCCCAAGCTGGAGAGTGTCCTCCTCCTCTTTCCTCCTCACAAACCCGGCGAAAGTTCCTATTCATGGTCGAACCATGCGTTTTGCATTCTTTTTCTCCTCGACGAATCCCCCCCCCCTTTCCCTTCTCTTCCACCCCGACGCTCCGCCTCTCGCAATTTTTTTGTTTTCAAAAAAAAAAAAATAAATAAATAAATAAATAATTTTTTAAACACTAAGAAAAAAATTTTTGTTTGAACGAAATATAATTTTTTTTCCACCCCCACGCTCCGCCTCTTGCAATTTTTTTGTTTTCAAAGAAAAAATAATAATTTTTCAAACACTCAGAAAAAAATTTTTGTTTAAACGAAATATAATTTTCTTTGAGTTGAACAAAAGTTTATTTGTCTCAGGGGTATAACTTTTCAAGCACCGATGACAAGTTAATTTTACTATAAATAAACTTTTCGAAAAATTCTAAATATTAAAAAAAGAAAAAAAAAAAAAAAAATTTTTTCCCTTGACCTAAATTTTGAGTTCTTTTTGAAATTTTTTACCCTTGTCTTAAATTTTGAGATCTCATTGAAATTTTTTTTTCACCCTTGATCTAAATTTTGAATTCTCTTTGAATCTGAACCTAGTGAAATTTTCACATATTCAAATATAGAATTTTTACTCTAAATGGACCTAACTTTAGACCTGAAGGTTTAAAGACTTTTTAGGTCCCTCGAAACTATATATTTAGGTTCCAAATTAAATTAGATTTTAAGTTTTAACGTTTTGCCTAGTTTTTTAAAGTTATTTTTAGTTTTTTAAGTCTTTAACTTTTTTCTTAAGCTACAAATTTGACCTATAAATGCCTAAATGATTTGACCTAAATTATACTTAGGTTCCAAATTAAATTAGTTATTATATTTTTGCTTAGTTGTTTTTAGATTATTTTTGGTTTCTTTTGTGTTTTAAATGTGTAAATTTTTCAACCTACAAGTTTGACCTATACATGTACCTTTGACCTAAATTTTACTTCGGTTCCAAATTAAATTAGTTTTTTAAGTTTTGCTTAGTTATTTTTAGGTCATTTTTAATTCTTCAAATTGTATTCAGTTTTTTAAGTCTTTAATTTTTTTCTTAAGCTGTAAATTTGACTTATAAGTGCTTAAATTATTTGACCTAAATTATACTTAGGTTCCAAATTAAATTAGCTTTTAAAGTTTTATTTAGTTCTTTTTAGATTATTTTTAGATTTTTTAGTTTTTTCAGTTTTTTGTTTAGTTTCTGTTTATAATTATTTTCTTAACATACAATTTTGACCTATACTATACCTTTGACCTAAATTATACTGAGGTTCAAAATAAAATTAGTCTCTCAGGTTTTGCTTAGTTTTTTAGGTTATTTTTAATTTTTCAGATTGTTTTCAGTTTTTTAAGTCTTTAAGTTTTTTCTTAAGCTGATAATTTGACCTAAAAGTACCTAAATTATTTGACCTAAATTATCTTCAGGTTCCAAATTAAATTAGGTTCTAAAGTCTTGCTTAGTTTTTTTTAGGTTATTTTTAGTTTTTAAATGTCATAAGACTTTTAGTTTTATCTTAAGCTGCAAATTTGACCTATTTATGCATTATTTGACCTAAATTATACTTATTGCATGAAAATTAAAATAGATTTTAAGGCTACTTTCCTTTTTCTGAGGTTATTTTTAATTTTTCAGATAACTTTTATTTTTCTTTACATTAAAAGTGCGTTAAAGTTTTTTCTTAACCTACGAATTTGACCTATATATTCCTCTGTGTATATATATTAGTTGACTAAATTACACTTATGTTCAAAATTAAATAACTTTTCATTTTTTTCTGATTTTTAAGTTTTACTCTCATCCTGAATTCCGAGGTGACATTCACCTTACAGTAGGGAATTTAGCTCAAAAGTTAAATTTCAAGTTGACCTAAATTTTTTAAGACAAGTATCTTTATTGCCAGTCAGTTACTTCCTACTTCCATGTTTAAATTCAAGTTTCAATTCATTTTCACAAGTTTAAAAATTTAACTAGAAGATTATAAATTCTGATTGAAATTTGAAGTTGACATAAATTTAGGTCAACTAGACCAGAATTTTTTATTATTTTGTTCATTGACCGGCTTCCGAATTCCGAAGTTGCATCCAACTTGAAACTAAAATTTGATCTGAAATTAACTTAAAAAAGTTTAAAACTAAAATTGACCTAAATTTTTCATTTTAGGTTTGTCTATTAACCTGTGACTTTGGCCAAAAGTGGACTGGAGGAGTTACCACCCTTTACCTAATAAAAATTCGAAAGATATTTAATTATTTCTTCAGTCTTTCTTAACAAACGTACGGTCTGTCATGTTATTTCTGAATTTCTAGCTTAGGTCAAAAATAAAAAACTGAAATTGACCTAAATTTTTTTGAAAAATTAACTTTTCTGATTGAACTAAAACATTTGTCAACTACGTCTGAGAGCCGAAGTTACATTCAGATCAAAATTGGAAATTTAGGTCAAAATTGTAATTTGAAGTTGACCTAAATTTTTCAGGTTAAGTTTGTCTATTGACCAGTTATACTTTTACTAAAATTGGACAGGTAACTGTTTACCAGTTAAATCCAAACTTCAGAGTTATTTACTTACTTACTTTTTTATTATGAACGTAGGTCAGTTTGCCTCTGCCTTTGACCTAAGAATTGACCTTTTGTCTGCATTTTGACCGAAAGTGTTATTTATTGCCAACGGACTTGAAAAATCTGATTAATTAATTTTTTTTTACAAGAATAATAGATTTTTGACGAATTTTGTTTTTGTTAATAACGTAGGTCAGTTTGCCTCTGCCCTTGACCTAAAAATTGATTTTTGTCTGCATTTAGACCGAAAGTTTGTTATTTTGTTTGTCTACCGACCTGCAAAAACCTGATTAATTGAATTTATTTTACGAGAAAAATACACTTTCGCCTAGTTTTGTTTTTTTAAGTAGTAACAATGCAGTCCGTCTGACCGAATAGTCCGTAACTACTTAACGCTTGGAGTAGAAAAACTATTTCACTTAAAATTCAATTCTAGAGCATATTTTATTTTTTCTCTAGTAAATTTGTACTTTTATTAAAATTTAAAACAATGAAACGGCAATCGACACATTTACTTTTCGTTTATATTGGGAGATTTTAAATAAGATCTGATTTAATCAAAATATGGTGAAAAAAAATTTAGAAGATTAAAAATTTTTGTTATAAAATAGAATCCCGAAACTAAAGTTATTAAAATAAGACTGTTCACTAGGAAACATTTTTTTAAATTAAAAAATAAGTATCCAACCAAAAAAATATGTTTGAATTAAATATTTTTTATATATTGAATTAAACGTAATTTTTATTGAATCAAACTTATATTATGTAATGTATCAAAATTATTCACAGAAAAAACAATGTCTCAAATCGTTTACATCTTAAAACCAAAATGATTGAAAATTAGTCTATTTTAAAGCTTAAAACTAGATTAAGTCAATTTTAGGAATTAAAATAATACAAAAGCACAATTTAAAAAAAAAAAATTCTATAAAAAGCTAATAAAAATCTAAACATTGGTAAAAAATATTTTCAATTTTTTTTCATTTCTATTATTTTTAATTATTTTAAAATTCTCTTCAAGGAAGAATACAGACAATGCACAGGTTATGAACACAGGCAGATGAGGTATGTTTATATTTAGAAATCTGACAGAATGAGAGTCTTTAGAATGTAAACCTACAAGGCGTAACAAGTGTCTGTGTGACGTCACATAACATTCAAGAGGCGGAGCTTTCAATATGGGGGTGGGGCTCATTTTGCCCCACCCCCCCGCGAATCTACGTTTCTTTATTCTTTTTAATTCTTTTTTTTATCCCTTATCTTTCAGGACTCACGGTAAATCTTCCTCTCTGCGCAGAACCTGCGCAATCTCCGTGTATCACTCACACATATATATATAGTTATAGAGCCTTGTCGCTTATATTTTCTCCTCTTTCGTTTTTAAATACAACCTAGGAAATATTTTCTATAGAAATTTTTTTTTTTTTTATTATTTTGTAATTTTATATCGCAAAAATCTATTGTCTATTTTGTGGTGTGTCTGTGTGAAATTTTTTCGGCTCGCAATATTTTTTCGGTTTTTAAAATTTATATTCCCGCGTGTTTCTTTTGTATTCTCAAGGTAGTAAATTTTTGCCTTTTACACTAAAACTTGCGAGAGTTAAAAAAATGTTTATTAGTTTTCTAGAAAGAGAAATCGATAAATTTTTTTTATGTTGCTTTGAATCAATTTTTCTATTTTTATTGATTTATTTATATTTATTCGAAAAAGTAGACGGGACTAGACTTTTGAAATATAATTTTTTATTCGAAAATAAATAATAGATTGCAGAATTGCAGAATTACAAGAATTCGAAAGAGATTTTAAAATTAAAATATTATTTAAACATTAAATTTTAATCATATAATTAATAAACGAAATAATCACTGAGAAAATAAATTATTTTTGAATTAAAAATAATAATTTTGATTACTTAATAATTCCGATTCAACAAATAATAATTTTCATTCAATAAAATTCACTTCTTTCTTTATTTAATTAATAAAATATTTTTAATTCAAACACATTTTCTTCATTGGTTACTTATTTTTTAAATTAAAAGAATTTTTTCCTCAGTTTTTTCTCAAATTTTATTATAAATTTTCTTATTATTCTTGTTATTTTTATTTATAGTAAAACTTCAGTTTACATGTCCAATTTTTTTTTCTATATTTCTATTTTACTTTTTAACAATCAATTTATTATAATTATGAGAAAAAAAATCACATTTTTCCTTTACAGCTTTGAGTTAAAATGTTAAAAATGAAAATCAGAAGGATTTGCATTTCTCAACACTGATTGTAAATAGTCGTCGAAGACCCGCAAAGTGCCACCGTTTATCGTCAACTGTGGTCTCTTTCTTTCTGTGTTTTAAAGTACGTGCACTATCGAGAAAATGTGTTCTCCATATATTGCATTTCTAGTCGTTCATATACAAATTTACAGGAATATAATTAACTCCTCGAAAGGTCAGCCGGGACCTTTTATCTATTATTTTTGAGTAAC